CGGTATATAGCGACATATGTCACCGCAGACGACGTCATCAGATTCAGAATTACGCCTAATGTATTGTGGTGTAGCGAAGAACCTGCCAAACTTCTCGGCACCGGGATATTACATGATGCAACTTTACTTTATGCCAATTTGTATATGTCTTTGAGCCTTAGCACCAGTAATAGTTCACCCGAATGGTCAGCAACACAATGCACTTTTCTATGCGATTTTAACAGCAGAAAGTATCTCAACAACCTCGCAATCTGCATCACTATCCCCAATTCAGAATGCAAGAAACATTAGCTTTGCAAAGTCTTAGATATAGTTGTATAAATTTACACATGAAATGTCAATTGCGAATATTACAGACAATGCTCAATGTCGTATGATGTATCTCGAAAGTGCTCATTCAACCACCATCAATGCAGATTCAGTCAAAGATATAATTAATAAGCTCTAGCACTTCAAGTGTTCTAATACACCCGTGACAACCACGCATTTCTTTTCAATTAACTATTCGCAAAAAGAAAAAACAAATTATGTATCCGGTTCTTGAAATAATATTTGCATCCAGAATATGAATTAGTCAGGGACGATATTCCAATTCCACTGGCTGCTCGTCTTAGAACAGTTCTTGTAAATAACAATGCCATGAGCGATAATGCTTAAGCACAGTACACAATGACTGGTGCACAGACAAATAGTATCATAATAAAACGGTTATTGTAATTAAGGTTTCGAAAGATGAACAGACCACACTCTTAACTATCACTGAAAGTCCAGAGATACCTCCAGATTTTGTAGCTGTTGGTGAGTGTTTTAGAACACTTCAGAACAAGTACATTTTAGATGAACACCATGAACCGCGAAAAGTTGATTGAAATGTGTCTCGAAAAAAGGGGATAGCAAGGTCCCTGGCAGGATCCTCTTCTTTTTTTCTAAATGTCTTACTTAGATTTGTGGACAGATACCAGCTCATGACTTCAGACTATACTGTGAGTAAGGAGTAACGCTGATGAAATTGTGTGAAATACTACCACATAATTTTGTACAAGGAAATACAGGTACTGATTCATCAATTCCTTCTTCAATAGAGACATTCAGCTGCTAAACATTACAAGCAGTGGTGAACTGATGACATAACAAATCTCAGTTTTATACCACAGTTTATCTGATGTAATTTTCAATCTAATGACGTCAACGCCCGTCACAAGTTCAAATGTATATGATTTGTATATATATATAAATTAATTTCTCAATTAGTCAGGTGTCTTGAGAAGATTCTCAAAATTGTTGTAAGGTCTAAAATTGTTCATTAAACTCATGAATTTCAAATTACAGGAAGGGAACCGAAATCAGGAAATGGCGTAGATTGTTGTGAACATCCAATAAGCATCTGGAATATGGTGCCCGGGTGTCAGCGTGTCCAACATTCACTGCTAAATGCCAGAGAGGAAACCATCCTGTGTTACTGATTCATTAAACCTCTAAACTACTTCCTCTTTTTGTGCCCATGGCTTTCTTGACATGCCGATTTGAAAGCATCTATTATACGGAACGAGATAATCATACGAAATTCTTATTTTGCCGTCTCAGTTAACACATGCCTTTCAGCCGATGACATTTATCTGTGCCTAATAGCTATAATCAAAGTAACATACTCCATAGAATTTATTTTACGCGTCTACTGATTTAGAGTATGACTACTATGTGAAACCAAATCAAGTGATATGAGAAAGACTATAACATATACTTATATCACTGATTATTTAATTTGTTTTCAATACTATACTTATATATATATAGTTATACACATAGGTGTTTCTTTGGCGTCTCTATTGAACAGTATCTCTAGATGAATTAAGGAACTTAACGACATAGTTCAGTTACAATGTTTCATACAATTAATAAAGAAGAATGTTTTACATACTTCCCGAAACACAGGGCCTACGGTCTGCGCAGTCTGCCTCGGGTATCATGTAATTGTTTTCTTCAGAGGTTATTATTTGAATGAAAAATATATTGTAATGTACGTTTAAGAGAATCCATTTTGTACAAATAATAATAATAATAATAATAATAATAATAATAATAATAATAATAATAATAATATAAAAATAATATATAAAATTAATTCAAATCTGGCAGACACCACCACTGAAATATTTGAAAACAACATTACTACAAAAATATGTAGCTGTGCATTGCATTGGCAAATATTTTATATGACACAAATTCATCCGGTATATATCGGTTTAATGATTCTGTCAAAAATCCACTCACGGTGAGGTATGCATATTGATCAATAATACGTGTACATGGTATTATACTAGCAAAAATATATTTTCGTCAACCGGAAGAGTATGCATTTGCTTCGACTAAACGGCAAACCTGCATAAAGTATGGTAGCGTTAAAATATGATGAAACGCAATGATTCAGTATCACAGTGCCAATCATAGTTAATACCGAAGGCAAAATATTGCGACAATAATCTATAAATTACACCACTTTTCACAAGCAAGAAGACTGGTCTGAAAAGATTCATCATTAGGTTTCAAGGAATGCCAGCTTTAGGGATTGTAACAATTAGCGTTGGATTATTCTTCATTTAATTACCAAGCAATTCATGGCAAACCACAAATCTTCAGTAGGTGAACTGCAAAGAAGTGAACAAGAATGATTCCATCGAGGACGGAGTGTATTGACCAGATTTGTACCCATCGAAACGTCATTGAGCCCAGACAGACAAAAGCAAACGTTGTCGATTTTGAAAAAGGTTTTTGAGAGCCTTCATCGTGACAGATTATGGAGCATCTTACGAATGCATGGTATCCCGAAGCATACATTGACATCATCAGGACCTTGTATGTCAATTTTGAATATAGAGTGGGAAATTGAAGTTTTTTTCTTTTAAGTGGAGACAGGAGTCAGACAAGGGTTGTAATGTCGACACTACTTTTCATTATTTCATTGACTGGGTTATGTTTCTGACAATTGAATATTAAACGAGAAGCACACTATGTACCCTCTTCTCAACACCGCACTCACACACAAATGCAGGATAAAAACATCCTGTCTCAGTGATTTTGCGAATAGGAAGAAGAAGTAATGGCACTGAACATCATAAACTCCTTGCAAATAATTACAATGCAAATATATGGAAAACACCTCATTAAACCAAAGGAATCGCTGATCTTGGAAGAACAGTTAGACATGACGAGAATGCATTGGAAATGCTGAATAACACACTAAGATTCAAACAATATAACACAAAGACCAAACTCTAGTAGGAGCGAGTGACATCAAGCAACTATCAATTTCCCCACACAGAGATTCTGTGAAGAATATGTAAGATTTTCGAGTCAAATACCGTAACAAAATAAGATCCACTTACTAGATACATGATGGCACCGTTGAAATCATTGCTAGACGGGACTGGAAAGGGAATGGGTATGTTGTCAGAAGACAATCGTATAACATTTCAACGCCCTGCAGTGGACATCCGATGAAAAATTATCACAGGGCGTATGACTGTGGGAAGGATATGAAAGATGACTTTAGATAGTGTCTAGAAATTAACCTAAAACAGACAAAAGAGGACAAACTTGATTGCTCAATTGCAACCCAAAAGGGTAGTGGGCAGTAACTATCTAATGTTAAATTACGTGTAACAAACATAATCTCACAGATTTTACAAATTTACGTATATTGGGATTAAAAAGATTCCGGTATATGTACTCAACCACTACTCGGGTAACACTCTAAACGGATAAGCTAGTGCATGTGAAGAATTACACAATACCATTCTCTCTGTATCTCGAATACAACACTACCTTGGGGTTTTCGGATTATTGCTGTTTTTTAATATTCTACCGAACCAGGCGTGATCTATCGTTGAACAAGCATAGCTGAGGGTCACCCATTGATTTGATGCTCTTTTCACTCTTTACAATTGTAATATGGATTTTTTCGATAAAGGTTAATGCACACTATGATTAAAAATATATATTTGTGGCACTTGTACGACATTTAAAGTGAGCCGCCTCGGAAGCAAAGAATGTTCGTATTTTTGGATCGTTCCTAAATTCTAACTGATTTGATTTGTGAAACAGTATCGTTAATTTTTTAACAAACAAACAAAATACAAAATGTATTCAACATTATCATGCAACCATTTTCAACAATATAATATTCCAATGAATATATTGCATTTGATTTGTATTCAGGTTAGGTCCTTTTGATTTATTTCCGACATCTTTCTGCCAGTTAGCAAACATCACTTCTAGGTACACTTTAATATTTAAGATCGCAGTCCGAAAACCGAATACACTGGCGTATATTCGTTTTAAAAAATATACAATATAAATAATCCGAATTCTATACTATAATAAGCGTTGTATTCCAATGTACTTTAGTTGCTGCGTATAACGGAATGCAGTAATGTGATCGCATACTCATTGGGCGTCGATAGCAGCATTTGTTTATTTCATTATGAACCCTGTAATAATGCACATAATTATTACAAATGCGATTAAATTATTCAATATATTTAAATTCGGGATGAAGGAAGGAAAAAAGAAAGGTGATATTTCAGATGCAAAATTCATATTGTGAGAATAAACTACGGACCTATACTAGCTGCGCACATTTACATGACAACACAAAACAAAAACATTCTGCTTTAGCGGTTTATGAGAACAGATCTAGTATTCCAGATTGAAGAGAAATGAACAATATGCATATAACTCAAATCCATAACTCGATCGATAGACCAAGCTTCACTAATGGGCATTCAATGAAACAGTTTTCTGTACTCCCACTTTTTGACAATTTCAGAAAAATATGTTGTTTTGTGTATATGTGATTGTTATATGGAATGAATACGTGTACAAAGAACTAGAACAAAGTGTATGAACTGGGATGGTGATTTTGCGAAAAGTACTAATGCTAAATTTATCGGAACTTAGTCTAGTACAGTACTAAGCATTCAGTCATTACAGTGTTAGCCACTAGAACGTAGGTCTGCCAAATCGAATAATTAATTAATCGAGTATGATAACCAGTTTCCATTCTAACCATATCTTATGGACTATATTAATTTTTTGGTTTGAGACTATGAACATTGCTTTACCAAACAACTATAATTTACAGCAGGAGCGCCATTTTATTTATCAGAATCTAGTGGGCACACATCGTCCAATTCACACCGCCGTTCGTGGCCTTTCCCACGAACCCGTGTGTGATCGTGTTAGGAAAAAGCTGTATTTGACCTCAGTTAAATATTAGATTTGGCGCGTCAATGAGCTAGCAAAATCAATCTGCGTTCCTATGACATCAATGCGTAACAATTCTAAAATTTAAACCAACAGACTTTGCCGTTCTATATCACGTCACAGCTCAACTGACAAACACACACTTGTATTCTAGTTTAAATTTATGTCTGGCAATATACAACCATATCAATACCTAAGTGACTGGATTCTGCAAATTTCCAAATATTATTGCCAGTAATTTCATAATTAAGTATGTTTTATATCTTTTATAACCCACTTTAATTGCACGAACCTAATAACTAGTAACTTCTACATATTACCCATCCCTTGTGGCACATCCTCGTATCCGGTAATGATATGTCATGGGACGAGGAGAACCCCTAAAATTAAAAGAAAAGAAAACAAAATAACATATTCTATTCAAATAGAATCCACTACTCAACTGGTATGCTTTCAAGTCAATGTACAATACAAGAGTGTAGACAAGTCGAAATATGTAAATTGGAAATCACCTTTTTGAGGTTATAAATTGCTTCTAGCATGGCAACCAGATCCATATCTACCGAAATGTAATCGGTAGACCTTATCAAGGGCAAACCGTCCTGGAAATGTCAACTTATGATTAAATTAACTGAACTGTTTATTAAGAACAGTTATTTAGAGCATTTTGTTTTCATTAAACGATGGGACTTTATCTACGATCTCTTCCTTTTTGATAACCACATCCTTTCCTGCAAATGCCATCAATCAATGATAATCTTTTCTGTTATGAATAAAACAAATCGTCCTCGAAATTAATGCTTCTATGAAAACTGGGTTCACATCTCAATCAACATTTAATATATCGAGTTCAGCAAAAACTGTTCAGGGCAACCTTTCCTGAAATATGAATATTTGTCTGTAAATTGTTGTGTTTTAAATTAAATACCATTTTGGGAATTGCTGTTTTAACAGTAACTATGCTCATGTCCGTTGTTATGTCAATTGCAAACTCCGACATAATAATTCATAGAACCTTAAGCTGCTTTTCATGTGCTGTTCTCTCGTAGTTTTGTGATGCTAACAAGCTGAAACAGAAAACTAATTATAGAATTGTACCTAATGGGTGAGTCAGTATTATAATTCGAAGTTAACGTAGCAGTATAGTTTTTTTGGCACTTTTCACATTTATTTTTTGAAAATCACAAGCAGAAAGCACGCT